AAAATAGGAAAAAAAAAAAAAAATAACGCCAGACAAATAATTTAATTCTTTACAACTTTAAATGCCAAGGTTAAGAAAAGTTAACCGAGAGACTACGGCAACAAGGGTTTACGAGTCAGTAAGCACAACTCCACTGCCACCCAGAGAACTGTGTGGCAGGTGGATTAATTAACTAGTAAGTAAAACTTGTTAAGAGGCTTTAAGAACTCTTAAAACTTGGAAAGTAAGTTTATGGACTCTTTTTAAAAAGCTTTGGTAGGTAGATTAAACTGTTTACAAGTTTAACCCAAAGTGATTTTTAAGACTGGCGCACAGCTGTATGGGTGACAGTGGAGTAACAATAGTGGTTAAAACAATGATAAAAAGTAGAGGTAATTTGTAGCTAATACCTTCATCCACCATAACTCTCTAGATCACAGGTATATACCTCCAGAGAGAGTTCCGTGGCTCAACGCCCCCGCGGCCCGGTTTGTGACCAGGCCTCGTGGATGAATTAGGGGCTGATCAACCAGGCTACTACTGTTCGCCGCACGCAACTCGACGTACAAACCACAGCCCGGCTGGTCAGGTACTGATTTTAGGTGCCGGTCCAGTGCCTGCTTGAATAACAGCCAGGGGTCTATTGGTAATCCCCCTTATGCATGCTGGGAGGCAGTTGAACAGGCTTGGGCTCCGGACACTTAATGTGTTGTCTCTTATCGTTCTAGTGGTACCCCTACTTTTCATTGGGGGGATGTTTCATCGTCTGCCGACTTTTTTGCTTTCAAAGAGAGTGATTTTCGTGTGCAAGTTTGGTACTAATACTAATAATGTTTTATCACTTCTTTGCCATTTCAGTAAAATATGGTGTATGTTTTGTCTTAATTTCGTACAAGCAATGGCCGGAGGGAATGGAGGGTAGGGAGAGACCCTATTGATTTACTATTACTGTCTCACACACCTACATAATAATAGTTATATCTCAGTAACCTTGGTGTGGACTTAAGTACTCTGTTACCTTCCCCATGTACTCTCATGTTATCTTGCGTCTTTGTTGGTTAGTGGTTTTCTTGATTCTTTGCATTAGTTGAATATTGTTTTTCAAACAACACAAATCTTAGCCACAATTTCACCAGCACATAAGTGCGTTCATCTACAGAATATAAGGCGCATCTTTTTTCCCATAAAATCTTGGAAAATCAGCCTGTGCCTTATATGCTCACGGTCAGAGCCAAGGGTAGACTGTGTTACGCTGTAGCAGTTGTTTACTAACGTTACAACTGATTGGAAACAGCGTCTTATATGATTGTGCGCCTTATATGCCAGGAAATACGGTAAATACAGTACGCAGTGAATTTATATACATATAATTATACAGTACAAGTGTGTGAATAGCAGTCTTAAGTGGGTTTGTCTACCAGTAGAGGATTACGTTTGTGTAGCTGCGGTATACTGAGTTTAGAACTTCCTGTCAGATTATAATGTTGAGTGTGTGTAGCAGGTAGCCTGAGGCAAGATGTCTGGTAGGTGTGGAAGATAGTATAATGTTGAGTGTGTGTAACAGGCAGCCTGAGGCAAGATGTCTGGTAGGTGTGGTAGATAGTATAATGTTGAGTGTGTGTAGCAGGTAGCCTGAGGCAAGATGTCTGGTAAGTGTGGTAGATAGTATAATGTTGAGTGTGTGTAGCAGGTATCCTGAGGCAAGATGTCTGGTAGGTGTGGAAGATAGTATAATGTTGAGTGTGTGTAGCAGGCAGCCTCAGGCAAGATGTCTGGTAGGTGTGGTAGATAGTATAATGTTGAGTGTGTGTAGCAGGTAGCCTGAGGCAAGATGTCTAGTAGGTGTGGTAGATAGTATAATGTTGAGTGTGTGTAGCAGGTAGCCTGAGGCAAGATGTCTGGTAAGTGTGGTAGATAGTATAATGTTGAGTGTGTGTAGCAGGTAGCCTGAGGCAAGATGTCTGGTAGGTGTGATAGATAGTATAATGTTGAGTGTGTGTAGCAGGCAGCCTGAGGCAAGATGTCTGGTAAGTGTGGTAGATAGTATAATGTTGAGTGTGTGTAGCAGGTAGCCTGAGGCAAGATGTCTGGTAAGTGTGGTAGATAGTATAATGTTGAGTGTGTGTAGCAGGTAGCCTGAGGCAAGATGTCTGGTAAGTGTGGTAGATAGTATAATGTTGAGTGTGTGTAGCAGGTAGCCTGAGGCAAGATGTCTGGTAAGTGTAGTAGATAGTATAATGTTGAGTGTGTGTAGCAGGTAGCCTGAGGCAAGATGTCTGGTAAGTGTGGTAGATAGTATAATGTTGAGTGTGTGTAGCAGGTAGCCTGAGGCAAGATGTCTGGTAAGTGTGGTAGATAGTATAATGTTGAGTGTGTGTAGCAGGCAGCCTGAGGCAAGATGTCTGGTAGGTGTGGTAGATAGTATAATGTTGAGTGTGTGTAGCAGGTAGCCTGAGGCAAGATGTCTGGTAATTGTGGTAGATAGTATAATGTTGAGTGTGTGTAGCAGGTAGCCTGAGGCAAGATGTCTGGTAAGTGTGGTAGCTCAACAAACACCTTAACTGTGAGAGATTATTTCATCCCGGAAAAAAAACAAGAGTACGAGATGATATGAAGGACGTAGAGGAGGTGAGTGAGCCTTACCTTGTAAGATGATGTGTGGGAGACACTGCCTATGTGATCAACTATTTATAGTTACAGGAACAGAGGTACGCTTTGTGTGTCCCGTCTTCAGTTTTGTCACGCAACTTTCCAATGGTTGAACCACATACCAACTCCTGGATAACTCTCCAAGTGTTTTATAAACATATCATAGCTAAAACTTGAAATATGTAATAAACGTTTTAAACTTCTTTGAAACGTCAAAAAAAACAATAAAGACGCGATTTCGGTACCTGTAGTGTACTTGTATTTCAAAAGTATAATATTTTCTATAAAAAAACTTAGTCTGAAATGTAACAAGATGCCAAGAGATATAGTGGTATAAAGACTTACAGCACAGTAGGACTTGATACATTGTTCATCGCTCACCTGATTTTAAATATCCAACTTTGTTCTTTTTGTTCCAAATGATGGTGCTAAAATATCCTCTTTATCTATGTAATATCCTCTTATGTTGTATGTGGTTACTGTGCCACATGTTTCCTCTAATACTGTATGTGGTTACTGTGCCACATGTTTCCTCTAATACTGTATGTGGTTACTGTGCCACATGTTTCCTCTAATACTGTATGTGGTTACTGTGCCACATGTTTCCTCTAATACTGTATGTGGTTACTGTGCCACATGTTTCCTCTAATACTGTATGTGGTTACTGTGCCACATGTTTCCTCTAATACTGTATGTGGTTACTGTGCCACATGTTTCCTCTAATACTGTATGTGGTTACTGTGCCACATGTTTCCTCTAATACTGTATGAGGATGATGTTGTGTTACTATTTTTCTTCATCCTCAAACATCAACATGTTGACTGGAACAAATCGTAAGAAATCACGAAAGTACTTGGAATTTCGCTATTTTTTTTTTCAGAGTGGTTATTTTGCATGTTATGGTGTCACCTGTTTACTGTGATATTTGCACATACACACACACACACACACACACACACATACATACATATACATTATTTATATATATATATATATATATATATATGTCGTGTCGAATCGGTAAAACTTGCGATTTTAGCTGAAATAGCAACGCTCTTTTGGCCGAATAAGGGAAGAGAAAATTTGTGTATGCAATAATTTCGTAAAAATTATTCTGAAGCTAACAAAAAATATATATTTGATTGTGTTTGTTTTTTAAATTATTGTAAACTAAAATATATTTAGCTGGATTAGGTTAAATTAAATTGCGCTTATAATAAGGTTAGGTAAGCTTTCTAAGGTTCTTTTGGTACAAAATTGTTAATTTTTACATTAACATACATGAAAAACATATATCTTTAAATGTATACCAGAAAATTTTAGAAAGGACTTAATTTTAAATGAGTTCTTGCTAACTGACCAGGTTTACCTATTCGGCACGATATATATATATATATATATATATATATATATATATATATATATATATATATATATATATATATATATATATATATATATATATATAATGTCGTGCCGAATAGGCAGAACTTGAGATCTTGTCTTAAATAGCAACTCTCATCTTGCCATACAGGACAAGCGAAAATTTGTGTATGCAATAATTTCGCCAAAATCATTCTGAAACTAACGAAAAAAATATATTTCACTGTGTTTATTTATTATTAAATTATTGTAAACAAATCTAAAATATATATAGTTGGGTTAGGCTAAAATAAATTGTTCTTGTTATAATAAGGTTAGGTAAGTTTTCTAAGATTCTTTTGGTGCAAAATTATAAATTTTTACATTAACATTAATGAAAAAATATATCTTTAAACGTAGAAGAGAAAATTTTAGAAAGGACTTAATTTTAAATGAATTCTTGCTAATTGACCATTTTTACATATTCGGCACGACATATATATATATATATATAATATATAATATATATATATATATATATATTTTATATATATATATTTTTATATATATATATATGCAATAAGACCACAGTAAACGGGTGATTTCAGAATATGCAAAAAAACCCACTCTGAAAGAACAGAGAAATTCCAAGCGCTTTCGTGACTACTCACATGTGATAATGTGAGAAAGTCACGAAAGCGCTTGAATTTCTCTATTCTTTCAGAGGGGTTGTTTTGACACACACACACACACACACACACACACACACACACATTTTTAATATATATATATATATAATATATATATATATATATATATATATATAAATAAAAGACAGAGCGAGACAGAGAGCGAGCGAGCTAACTTCATGACAGAGTGCCTAAGTTAAGAAGAGAATACTGGTTGTGGTGCAGGAGATGAAGGAGGGGGGTGAGGTGCAAGGCGGTGCCTGTACACTGACAGGAGACAGTACTGGTGCCTGGTTGGCAGTGATGTCAGTTACCCGCTGATCCTCCATGAGTGAACATCGCTGTGTTCCGCTCTCCTCACCATCACTGTGCCTCACTCCCTCAACAACTTGTCGAGTTTAAACACGTATTTAACGAGTATATATTTGTAGAGCAAAAACAGAATAATTACTAAGATACGGATATTTTGTGTAACTTTAGAGAGGAGATAATGAGAAGTGGTTGACCCCACCACCTGCTTGCTAGTGCCAGACACACAAGAATTACCCACCTACAAAAAAAGTCTACAAGAGAAACCTGTCGCCAGTATCTGGTAAGTGGCACCTCCAACACCAATTGTTAACTCTCGTTCATTTCTCACAACACACACTTACTTTCACACAACTCTCCTCGCTTTACACTCTCACTTTCCACCACAACACTTATTTCACTGACACAACACACATACCTGTTATTGGTCTTGAGGGTTGTCCTACCTTGGCACCCTGCCTAAGGCGCTCTGTGACCCCTACGGGCCTACCGCTTCCCTTGATTATAACGATAATCCTGATGGAGTTGGTCAACGTCTCGCGTCAGGAATTTCAATGATACGTGAGTAGTGATCCAGCATACTGATGCAACATGAGTGGTGATCCAGCGTAGTGATCCAGCCAGAGTAATGATCCGGCTTCCCAGTCACCGGGAGAGAATCAGTGATTCTCTGGGAAGTCGGTAATTATATAAAGAATACAAAGAATTTAGGATCACTGGTGTAGATCTACCGGCCCATGACTCACGAAATCGTAATGACACGATTGCAAACAAACCATACCCCGGCCGGGGTATGGTTTGTTTACCGGCCCATGTTAGACAGTTCCTTTAATACAGTCAATCTGTAATACAGAGTCCGCAACTGCGCTACATAAAACTAAACGAGGCTGTACTAAAGATGTATATGACTATGTAGAAAAGCCTTGGGACTTCTGTATCTTAAGCGTCTTCATTTAAATCTAAGAAATCTATTGGTCTCATTACGGACATTTAGGCACTGCTTCCTTGATTCAGATTTTTCCTAACAGGTACTCCCAAGTTCCTTTCACATCTATGATCAAGCGTTACGTTGTTCAGTTGATAGGTGTCAGAGGTATTTTCACTGCCAAGGATCATACCTTACAATTTCCACATTGTTGCGACATCTGCCATTCTTCCGGCTATGATATCCGTACTAATAATTATAAAGGTCGCTGGTATCCTCTACATTCATTACTTGGTTTATTTTTGTGTCGTCAGTGAATGTATTTATGTTGCTTTTGTTTCAGTCATAAATGTAGAACAAGTATAAGGGACCCGGCGCAATAGTGGTCCTTGTGGAACGCTACTTATGACTGGGTCCCATTCGTTCATGTAAATTCTCTGCCGTCTATTCGTCAGCCATGTCTCAATCCAAGAGAGAATTTTATCTCTAATACCGTGTGCTGATACTTTCTTTAACAGTCTCTTGTGTGCGATCAGACACATTCCAGAAATCAAGGTAAACAAAATAATATTCCTTATCTTTGTCCGCCGTCTCAAGTTTATCCTCCGACTCTAATGCTAACAACTCTTTAGCATGACCTACTTCTACTAATCGGTCTCATTCACCTGTGATGTCATCTCCAGCTGCTGCACCTCACTTCTAGCTTCACTATACAAGTCTCTGAACTCACACTTCTGCTTTAAGCTAAAAAACTGACGATCTTCTATCAAGACCGAGGAAAGGATCACCTCAAAATTACGTCCTCACCTCTACTGTCTTCAGTGTTATAATCGCATGTATGACTGAAGTAGCCTGCTACATGGGCAAAATGTTCAACAATGAAGTCTTCCAAGTGCTGTACACGTCACCTTGTCGCTTGTCTTTATTATTAAGGCAAGAGAATAAAACGGTGGAAAGGCCAGTGTTGTAGAACAAGTTATATGGACGTTTCACTGTGTAGAACTTTAAGTTATGAATTAATAAAGATGTACGATGTGCACAGCAAAAGTTGACCATGCGGGTTGTGTGCCACGTTTACAGTACTAGTAAGGAAAGATTTTGCTGGGATTTTTAACCTGGAGTGTTAGGATAAATTAACAGTGTGCATTATCAGAGTTGATACAGCTCTACACACAACGATATAATATTCAAACAAAGGCAGTGTCAGTAGGATTCATGACAGTGCTAGTACCTGAATATCTCAGTGACTATTTCTAACACGTTTCTCTTGATGTGCTAAGCAAGATTTTCCTAGGCCGTCATCTAAAAGAAATTACACTGCACCTTAAGCAAAATTCTTGGTTTGTTTACAATATAGTAACAAGACAAAATAGACACCTTTGTCTAAACGCTTCAACGTGCGTCTAATAAAGCTGATATAAGCAGCTGCCTTCGCGATGTTTGGTGACGAGTCACGCAGCGCTTGAAGGCCAACCCTCAATTGTATTATACTTTATGTACTTTCAAAGCTACACTGGAAACATAATTTTTGGTGGACAAAACGTTCGGATATGTGGCTACGAGTAAGGCATACATGTGCAGCAATTAAGTATCTATTTCCGAAACGTTTCGTCTACACAGTAGGCCTCTTCAGTCGAATACAGAGGTGTCTTTAGAGCCAGAAGAAGCAATGGAGAAGTAACGATGTGAAGAGGATGGTTTGAGGTGGTCAGTCTCTCAGCCTTGAGAAGTGTTCAGCTCCAGTCTTGAACAAGTACTTCATAAAGCCTCGTGTAGGCGAAACATCGCATTAATAAAAATATTATTTTACTGGATGTGTCTACTAATTTAAAGTACCTTAACTATGTCAATAAGGTGTCAGAGGCGAGGTTGTGTTGCTTTGGGCCACAAGTCAATAATACTTTCACTTAAATAAGCAAACTGATTTTAAAGGTTGAGAGTGCACGCTACAAGTCACCTCACACATGATACTGCCTTATACTCACTCAGGTTCACTGCTACAAGTCACCTCATACATGGCCCGGTGGCCTAGTGGCCACCGTGTTCGATTCCCGACGGGTGGAAACATTTCGACACGTTTCCTTACACCTGTTCACCTAGCAGCATATAGGTTCCCGGGTGTTAGTCGACTGGTGTGGGTCGCATCCTGGGGGACAAGATTAAGGACCACAATGGAAATAAGTTAGACAGTCCTCGATGACGCACTGACTTTCTTGGGTTATCCTGGGTGGCTAACCCTCCGGGGTTAAAAATCCGAACGAAATCTTATCTTATCTTGGCACTGTCTTATACTCAGGTTCATTGCTACAAGTCACCTCACACATGACACTGCCTTATACTCACTCAGGTTCACTGATACAAGCCACCTCACGCATGAAACTGCCTTATACCCAGGTTCACTGATACAAGTCACCTCACACACATGACACTGCCTTATACTCAGGTTCACTGATACAAGTCACCTCACACACATGACACTGCCTTATACCCAGGTTCACTATACAAGTCACCTCACACACATGACACTGCCTTATACTCAGGTTCACTGATACAAGTCACCTCACACACATGACACTGCCTTATACTCAGGTTCACTGCTGTAAGTCACCTCACACACATGACACTGCCTTATACTCAGGTTCACTGATACAAGTCACCTCACACACATGACACTGCCTTATACTCAGGTTCACTGATACAAGTCACCTCACACACATGACACTGCCTTATACTCAGGTTCACTGATACAAGTCACCTCACACACATGACACTGCCTTATACTCAGGTTCACTGATACAAGTCACCTCACACACATGACACTGCCTTATACTCAGGTTCACTGATACAAGTCACCTCACGCATGACACTGCCTTATACTCAGGTTCACTGATACAAGTCACCTCACACACATGACACTGCCTTATACTCAGGTTCACTGATACAAGTCACCTCACACACATGACACAGCCTTATACTCAGGTTCATTGATACAAGTCACCTCACACACATGACACAGCCTTATACTCAGGTTCATTGCTACAAGTCACCTCACACACATGACACAGCCTTATACTCAGGTTCACTGATACAAGTCACCTCACACACATGACACAGCCTTATACTCAGGTTCATTGCTACAAGTCAACCTCACACACATGACACTGCCTTATACTCAGGTTCACTGATACAAGTCACCTCACACATGACACTGCCTTATACTCAGGTTCACTGATACAAGTCACCTCACACATGACACTGCCTTATACTCAGGTTCATTGCTACAAGTCACCTCACACACATGACACTGCCTTATACTCAGGTTCACTGATACAAGTCACCTCACACATGACACAGCCTTATACTCAGGTTCATTGCTACAAGTCACCTCACACACATGACACTGCCTTATACTCAGGTTCACTGATACAAGTCACTCACACATGGACACAGCTTATACTCAGGTTCATTGCTACAAGTCACCTCACACACATGACACAGCCTTATACTCAGGTTCATTGCTACAAGTCACCTCACACACATGACACTGCCTTATACTCAGGTTCACTGATACAAGTCACCTCACACACATGACACTGCCTTATACTCAGGTTCACTGATACAAGTCACCTCACACATGACACTGCCTTATACTCAGGTTCACTGATACAAGTCACCTCACACATGACACAGCCTTATACTCAGGTTCATTGCTACAAGTCACCTCACACACATGACACAGCCTTATACTCAGGTTCATTGCTACAAGTCACCTCACACACATGACACTGCCTTATACTCAGGTTCACTGATACAAGTCACCTCACACACATGACACAGCCTTATACTCAGGTTCATTGCTACAAGTCACCTCACACACATGACACAGCCTTATAGTTATTCAGTTCCTGCAACACTTAAGAAATAAGTTTTCGTGGATAAATGTGGATGAAGACCCCCCCCCCCCCCTTCACACCCGTAGCAGCAGTGCAGCAGCAGTGCAGCAGCAGTGCAGCAGCAGTGCAGCAGCAGCAGCAGCAATTCAACAGCAATTGAACAGGAGCAGCAGCAGCAATAATCCTGGAGATGCATTGCAAAGCAAGGCAAAGCGAAGAGTTGAAAAATTATCATTTTTTTACATATGCCCATTTACGAAATTGATGAATGTTATTTAGGTTACATTAGGTTCCGTTTGGATGCTAGGTAGGCCAGAATAATTTAAGTTAGGATAGGAATGCCGGTTAGAGGATAGGTGCAATGTACCTTTTTTCTCAAATTAACACTTGTGCTATTTTTGTTTATGTAACAGGTCTGTTAAGAGGCAACCTCAGTGTGAGAGTAACCTGCCTCTCTCTCACTTA